GTAAGAGTCCCAGCTGTGAGACGGGGGAATATTCGGAAATAGAGAGAGAAAGGACGGTTGCATTTGCATTTGCATAGAGAGAGAGAGAGAGAGAGAGAGAGCGCAGGAAGGTGCAGAGCAAAGGGGAGCGCAAGCGCTTAGTCAACACAGAAAGCGTTTAACTCTTTTTCTTTTATTTTCTTTCATTTCTTTCTTTCTCCGATCGCATCGCCATGCCTTCTCGAAGAAGAACTCTCTTGAAAGTCATCATTCTCGGTGACAGCGGGTTCGTTTCTCTCTCTCTCTAGGGTTTACTTCTCAGTTCTCACACAGATCTCTTCTCCCTTCGCGCTTTCCAACCACTTTCTCAACTCTCACTTCAATTATTCCATTCCGCTTATTCCTTTTCTCACTTAATTGGACGATATTGTCAAAATTATTTATGCTTCTCTTCGGATCGCAAGAACCGTGCCTTCTGTTACTTTAATCTATTGCTCAATTGCAATCCTGCTTACTTGATTTACGCCTTGCAGAGATTTACTGTTTCTACCGTTTATTTTCTCTTTTGAAAACACTCTGTAATGTTGTTGATGCTTCGCAGGGTGGGGAAGACGTCGTTGATGAACCAGTATCCTTCGCTTTCTGTCTGGAAACGCCGTCTGCATTGCTTCTTACTTTAATCTTCGATGCAATTTGTTTCCGTCTTGTGTGCAGGTTAGGTATTTTGGATATGGAAACTGCGTGTTTTCCCTAACGTGTGTATTTTAGATATGTGAATAAGAAGTTTAGTAATCAGTACAAGGCGACTATTGGAGCGGATTTTTTAACCAAGGAAGTGCAATTTGAGGATAGGCTTTTCACCTTACAGGTTTGTGAATAGTGTTTAGCTTGTTTTTTGCAATGCGTGCTTGGACCTTAAGATTGGGGTAACATGATGGATGTTTTGGAGGGGGGGAGGGTTAGCAGATACTGATTCTGTTGGAGTCTCGTATTTACTCTCTATGATACTAAATTTTACGGACGAATTCACAGATACTAATTTTACCTTGAATAAGAAGTTATGCTCTGATTTTACGGATGAATTCTTGGGTTTTATTAGCCTCCTTAATGAATGGGGTTGTGCACTTGTGCATGTTGAGTTTGCATGATATAAGCACAAGGAACAAATCATGGAATTGCCGAAGCATCACATATATGTCCACATCAATTCCCCCCCCC